CCAAGCATGCTGCCAAGGGTGTTTACTGCTATAAAGATGCAAAGAAGAAATGAAGCGAGGAAGACCAGCCTCTCACACAACTAGCCCAGCGCTATCTACATTTTAGTTTTACAAGCAATGTCTTAATTTAAATCCAGTTTTCTTAAACAGCTTTCCTAATTTAGTCTTTAGCTTTACGCTGCCATTACTTTTAACTCTAGTTTTTGTTATTTCATTGTGAACATCTCCACTCAATATATTTAGTTTCCTGCAATTCAATTTACTGCACTTTGCCCCAAATTCATCTTTCTAGTTTCTTTTAAGTTTAGTTTTATGCTTCAGCTTCTATTTCATTTTCAACGTTTTCATACTTTCGCGGCGGCATCATGCTTTCTCTTTGCAATTTAGTTTTCTCGCCATGCACTCTCTTTCTTCTCCTTTCCTTTATTTTCCTCTTTTATTTTAATTAACAAACTAACATTTTGGCCATAGTTGTGGGAAGTCCCTGATGTTCTTCCAGGGCAATTATTTATGGACCTTTGTACAAGAATGCACCCCTGTTTCTGCGACAATCGTTTGACCAGGGCGCATCTCATAATTTATTTAATCGGTGCTCTTCCATCGACTTGCAGCCGAGTTCCACGCTTGGAAGTAGTGAGGGTCACCGAGAATCCCTCTTTCTCACTTTGAGCAAAGTGAGTGGCACGCCTTCACAGTCTTATCTGCCACGCAGCCAGAAAGGGAGATTTTGGAGACAACAGTTCCCTTCGTTGTATGCATAAGTTCTAATCAAATTTCAGTTTATATTTCTCCTCTTTTGAGTGAGTTTTTTGGGAATGAATTCTCTCAATTTATCTCTGTATCTTAGGTCTTGCCAACCTAAGTGGTGAACTTGGCAATCGAATTCATCGTAGTGTGATTTTAAATCTCACCAAAATCGGTGTTTTAGTATCGGCTCCTACGCCATTTGGTATCAGAGCCAATATATTTGGAGTCTGCACGTCATTCTGAACGTTCTGGTGAAAATCCAGTCGACAAGACCAGACTTCCAGGTGACTATGGAGTCTATGCTACTTTTAATGTTGCTGACTTATCTCCTTACTATGAGAACCATGAAGATTGAACTCAAACTCGAAGATGAGTTTTCTCCAACCAGAGGAGAATGCACCGGGGGAAAGCACCAGGAAAGTGCACCAGGACTACATGTCAACAAATTACAGACTACACTCTGCAGACTACAAATAGACGGGTGCAATTTTGTCAAAAATGGCCACTAAATTCCACAAAGATAGCTAACTCCCAACTGCATTTTCACTTTTCATTTATTGTCTTACGTTAGATTTTGCCTATAAATTGCTATGTTCCCTTCGTTGTATGCATAAGTTTCAATCAAATTTCAGTTTATATTTCTCCTCTTTTGAGTGAGTTTTTTGGGAGTGGATTCTCTCAATTTATCTCTATATTTTAAGTCTTGTCAACTTAAGTAGTGAACCTGACAATCGAATTCATCGTAATGAGATTTTAAATCTCACTAAAATCGATGTTTCGATATCAGCTCCTACATCACTTGGCATTCATTATCATTCAATAGTTTGGGAGAAAAATGGGAGATTACTTTTGCCAATCAAACATGGGGAAGACAGTCTTTACCTGCCTCTGCCTACTTTGCCATTGTGAGCCACGAGGTCTCTTAATAGAAACAGTTGGTAAATGGTCAACCTCTTTTGGGAAAAAGAAGAATGAAGTTGTCCTTGAGACGGGGTCAGGTAATTAAAGTTGCCCTCCCAAAAGAAGAATGAAGTTGTCCTTGAGACGGGGTCAGGTAATTAAAGTTGCCCATCAAAAAGGTAATGTTACAATAGCAGTGACCGTGGGAATGAATTCCTCTTTTCATTAAGCTTTGAAAATGAATGAATTTTCTATCAGAGTTAATTTTTTTATGAATTTTTTAATATTAATGTAGATAATTTATTTTTAAATAAATTAGAGGAATTAGTTTTATTGTTTGTTTAGATAAAAATTAGCAAAGAAAAGAATGGGGGAAGAGGGAAATGGAAGAAAGGAGAAGTAAAGGAAAGGAAAGAATTGATATTAATTTTGTTTGGATAAATAAAAGTAGACAAAAAAAAAGAAAATATTTTTATTTAATTAAATAATTTAAATAAAATAAAATATTTAAAATTCACTAGTTAAAAAATCATTGATATAAA